TAAATAAACATTCAATTTTTTGGACTTTTTCCGTGATGCATTCTTCAAACAGTTCCGTGTCTGCCGCTAAATTTCTTTTCATGACAGGGAAGTCTGTTGCTGTTTAAGCATCCGGGAAACGGCAGAGAATGTCTCAACTACTAGTAGCTAACTGTTAGCATTAGCAACTCCACCATGCAGCAGAACTACTCCAAACTTGTGTTATTTGTGGAGATAAAACATCAACGTTGCGGTGCAGTCAGTGGTAGAGTGGTGCTGTTATCCTATCAGAGGAGAGATTCAGGAAATAAGAGTCCAAAACCTGCCATGTTCAGCTCAGCTGTGATGTGGCTCACTTCTAGCTCTTGAAACAGGTGCGCCAGTGCTTTTTTCAACCAGAGTACAACTAACAAGACATTCATTCAATCAAATGAACCAAATTGATCAATTCAAGAGTCAATGATAGAGTTGCGTTGCTGTTAGCTAATCGGAGGCAAGACAAATCACAGAGACAATGTTTTTACCATAAATTTTTGGAAACATCCATTAAAATGTTGTTGAAAATGAAATAAATGATGCTCGGTTGTTTCGTAACATAACCATAAAAATCAGGTCTACAATTCATGGGAGCGGGTCGAAGCAGTGTAAGTCTCTGGGCGACGCCAAATTAGATGCCATGTTTCCTTCTACGGGAGCCCTTGAGGACAAAATGCATTTACAGATTTGACACAAATGGTCACAAAACTTTCTCCATTCTTAAGTGTTGTTGTTTTACAAATTTACCTCTTAAATTGTTGCCAGTGATGAAAGGAAGTCTACTGTGCTCGTTATTTTGCTAAAGTTTGCACCCCCCAGGGGTCTCATTTATCAAACATTGCGTGGAATCTTTACTAAAACCGTACTTAAAGGGACTTTACGGAGTTTTGAATTTTTATGCTCGCAATTGCCCCCTCAGACCAAAAGCGTAACGGCAGCTTCAATAGTAGGCTCGTGCACCAGGCGCACATGCTGTACGTGTACACTCCTTAACGAAAATAACAGCTGAGATAGTCCTGTGTGTGTGTGTGGCCTGGAGGACAGAGTACAGGAGAACGCGCAGCTAATTAATTAAATAATTTGGTTCTGTACCTTTCTCTTCAGCACAGCCGACAAAGGTTTATGATGGGTCAGTCCTCCTGCATGCTCAGATCATTCCCTTCCCTTGCTTGAAAAATTGTTCCAAAATGAAAGTTGAACCCACATCTTTTTTATCTGTGAATTCAATGCTGTTCGGCGAGTCTCAAATAAAAATTTGGGCATCTTACTGTAAAAAAAGTATACCATTAATGTAAAAAAGAAACTCTAATTGAACTATGTTCACATTGAGAATCGAATCCAGGACATTTTACAAGGTGAGCTACATTCTAGTACAGGGATCGGCAACCTGTTCCCATCAAAGAGCCATTATTACCCGTTTCCCACAGTAAAGAAAACACTGGGAGCCACAGCAGCCACGGCGTTGTGGGCGGGGCCTACCCTCAGACAGCAGCCAGTACCGGTCGCTCGTGTACGTCAAAGTTATCTTTCATAAAAAGATAATCAATAAAACGATTTATATAAAATGGATCCAGAAGTTGTAGCCCGTCTCTGCCTACAATATTTTGATCTTTTTCACCCTGTTGGTGGTTTCACTGAGCAGGTGCCACTTTTGTCATACGTTTCTTTTTAAAACATGTTTAGACTGTTCAGAATACAAATCCAGGCTCTGTCACGTTTGATTGTTGTAATTAAACTTTGTAGGTGGGGAAGGTCAGAAAAGGATCCGATCAATTTGTTTTTCCCTCATTTACAGTGACGGAGAAAACGGCGCAGTGCTCCTGGCTCTGGTGTTAATCCAGTTAAATTTTATCTCTTTGCAACAATTATCACAAGAAAACAAAACAGTTAAAAGCAGGGCTTGTGTTGACCGGACAGTTACCGTATTTGACCGTTTATTTTGACGGAGAAAGAATAGAAAGAATTACCCCGACACATGCAGACGAACTGACATTTTATTTGTTTCGCACATCGCAGATGTAGCTAAATCACTCAAGAAAAGATTCCCCATCTGAACATCTGAGCTGGACACTGCTCAGCGCAGCTCGCTGTCAGCGCGTACGTACAGTGCACAGCGAGCTGAAGATGTGGAGAGGGGCTTGGAGCGCGTCACAGAACCAGAGCGCATGCAGGAAGATTCCTCCGACTGAAGCAAGACTTGTCACTTAGAAAATGTTCCCGGATTATGAAACTTTGGCTGAATAGTGCTTGTTCCTGTCTCCAATGTGGCGACACATCCAGGAGCCTGTCTGAGGAGAAGCCCAGAATCTCACATCCTCTTCAGCTCAGAAAGCACCTATGATTACGCACAAGCATGACCCGTCAACCCGGTCTCACAGTAAGACCGGGTTGGAACTGTTCAGGTTTACGCAGACAATCTTTACATTTAGAATTGGCATACAGATGTAAAATTAATGCAGTAAAATATAAAGCATTTTATTTAAATATCCATTCATTATTTTACAAGTACAGAGAGCTGCATCAGATGGATGGAAGAGCCGCATGCGGCTCCAGAGCCACGGGTTGCCGACCCCCGCTCTAGTAGCATTCACAGTATCTGTAACTTTTATATCCTTGATGACACCTGAAACAATGTCAAACCAAAGAACGGTTCGAAGCGAAAATGGCTATTTTGTTGCTAATTTGCAGGAAATATCTAGAAGAAAGTTCTACAGAAAGTAGCTAAGGGTCCTCAGAAATGTAGCTAGCTTTGTCACTAGGCGTTAGGAACAGCGACAGAGTGGCACTGCCTCTCTCTCTGCTGCTAAAGCTACTGATAGCAAATACTACTGGCTATGCCTGAGCGTGAACGCACATGAAGCAGCCTGCTCAACCCAAGCAGCTCTCTTTTTCTGTGATTTTACAGAAAAACAGGCAATCACAGTAAAAATGCCAGGGCTCATTCTACAGGACCAGGGCATTGCAGGAGAATGTATGAAGAAGAAATTTATTATTTCTATACATGTTTTGGCTGTCAAACTTCCATAATGCCCATTTAAGCTCAGCAAAAAAAATGTACTTACGCCAAGTAGGTTTGTGATTTATCAAACATGGAGTACGCACAGCTGTATGCAATCTCCGCTTCATAAATCAGAGACTAACGAGAAAGTTTCTCAGCTGCATTTTAGTCACATCCCGCCCTCACCACGCCCACTTACTTCCATAAATAGTCAATGCAAAGTGCCTTGTGGATCTCATGCGTATACATAAGCCGGCTGTTGCAGCGCTCCACCAATGACATGGCGACCGTAGATCAAGGCAGATCAAGGAAGCGCAATTTCACAAGCAGAAATTGAGGTACTTGTGGGTGAGGTGAAGAAATGAAAGGAAGTGCTTTTGCAAAACAAATAAGAGAAAATCCATGGAGTGGCACAGCGTTGCTGAAGCTGTCAATGTTGGGAATTCTTCAGAGAGATCTGTGGCGGATATAAAAAAAAAAGGTCCGACCCCCAGTCTCCAAGGTGAAAGTCACATGCACTAACCAGTCACCCAAACGCACATCTCCCTTGACCAAGTAGCCAGAGCACATCATTAATTGGGTTACAGTGACAGGACACACACACTGTCACAGACGCAAGACATTCTGTCTTAATATGTCCCCCTGCTGATATTCTGCATTCCGTATTCTGCGCTTCAGGCTATGTGTGTGTGTGTGTGTGTGTGTGTGTGTGTGTGTGTGTGTGTGTGTGTGTGTGTGTGTGCGTGTGGGGGTTCTTGTTCTGTGTGAAAACAAAGCGGTACAAGTGATAATGCTGCACGATTTCATGATTTTATCCTTCTCAGCAGCAGCACTGCAGGTGCTCTCCATGTCCAAAATGTGCGTAAGCAAGGTCCTTAGTCAACTTAAAGTTGCGCACATTTTTCCGCTAAGTTTTCTTTCGTAAATCCCGAAGTTTGTGTGGAAAGTTGCTTACGCAGTTTTCCGACCCCGTTTAGTGCGTAAACAAGCTTGATAAATGAGGCCCCAGGGCTTTTTGACCCTAACCGGCATCTGTTGGTGAGATCTTACTCCAACACGGGCAGCGTTAGGCCCGGCTACTTGGGCTGAAGCCCCGAATGTTTCATGAAAAGCCCCGGATCTAAATCGCGGAAGTAACATGCAGTACCAAAGTCCAACAGAGAGGGAGCAGCTGGCAGTAGTTTGTATACAGCCTGCCTGAGCCTCCACCACTGAAGAAGAAGCCCTTCAGCAGCCGGCTTCTTCTACACTCTCTGCCTGAAACGCATGAGTGAAGATGGACATAAGGACGTTTTTTAGACAAAAAGTACGACAGAACCCCAGCTTTGATGAGACTGGTGTTAACTCAGGTTTGTGAGTCTTATTTGAAAATATTTGTTGTGCTGCTGGTTTGCCTAAAGTTAGCTTACTATCAGGTAAAGTGGATGGAGAAAGAAAGGGAATATTTACTATCATCTCACACTAAACACTAACAGGAACAATTCTCTGCCCTGAAAATGCTTAATATGTAGCTTCAGATTAAAAATTATGTGGTAGAAGACATATATGATGTTGACTAGTGCAGGTCACGTGTGTGTGTGTGCGCGCGCCCCAGATCTTCTTCAGTCCTAAATCTGCCCCTGCTCCAACACAGAAATACTGCTTGCTTGCAACAAATAAGGAATCTACCTCCCCATCACCAGGAAAAACACACTGTCACTTTAAGGTAAACTGCTGCAAACGTATTAAAATATGAGTAACGATGACCTTTAAGAATTCTAGCCAAGCAACTTTTGCTCATTTATCACATTTAAGAATATTTACCTTATTTTATGTAATGATTTTTTTCTAGAGTCAGAAGTCAGAGTTCTGTTTTTAGAATAAACATAAGATGAAATATCTTAAAAATCTGTTTATGCGTTGCATGTTGCAGACACTTAAAACACTCACAATCAAAGCACCTTTCTCCTTTCACCGTGAAGGAGATGAAGTAACAATTAGACACCTCTGAAAGTTTTATCAAAAGCATTTTAATGCAAATGTCGATTTAAGTGCAGGTACAGTTTATTGTTCTATAATAATTGCCCAAAAATATGTCTTTTAAATCTCAGTGTTAACGGATGAGAAGGATCTAATGTACAAAATGTACCTTTGGATTACCAAGAAATAAAAGATTAATGACGGTCCAGAGCAGTATAAGTCAACAGCCGTCTTCCTCACATCCTGACAAACGCCTCTGATGCAACATAATGTCAGACAGCAGCCGTAAATCATGTTAAGTGTAAAGGTCAGAGATGAAACGTGGTTTCTCAGAGATGGGTTTATAATTCACACACACACACACACACACACACACACACACACACACACACACACACACACACACACACACACACACACACACACACACACACACACACACACACACACACACAAAGAATTGCATGGCATTTATGGAGAAGGTGAATACCACAATAAAAACTACACAATTTCCTTATCAGGAAGAGGGATGGGCTCTTCTTTATCAGCCCTGCAATCCAGGGGGTTTACAGCTTCTTGGTTGTCATAGCAGCACCTGAAAGGCACACAGATAAAACCATTTTTCCATCATTAACCTGCTACATACATGCAGTTATTACAGGTTTGTGTGTCTCCTCACCCTCTTTAGAAAATTCCCTGCTCCTTTCGACGGTCGATGTCTCTCTTCAGCTGGCAGGTGGCGCAGACGGGGCAGCAGTGAGCCACCATGTAGTCGTTGCACATAGACCCCTGGATGCACAAACCAGTTTGTGTGAGAGGCTGCAGCACTGATGCATCAGCATTTTATACACGGGAAGTTTAACACAGGGGCGCAGTTAGAGTGTAAGCATTTAGCGTTTGCATTAAGGAGGGACTTCTACCCGAGCTGTAAATAATCTTACCTGGCAACGGTGGGCTGGCAAATAAAATGAATAAACAGTAAAGCATTTAAATATTCTGCCTTAAACTGTCAGTGTTGCACCCTCTTCAGGTAAAAACTCTGCACTGCATTTGAATTTAAATCTTCCATCGCTATTGGCTAAGAGGTAACTATGGCGTTAGCTGGTACCATATGATGTCACATTGTTAGCAGCTCCACCCTCTTGGTCTGCCAGGCAACTCCTCTTTGTGGCGGATTTTTCAAACGGGAAATGGGAGTGGAGTTGGACTCTGGTAGCGGGTGACTTGATTAATTAAAATAATCATTGACAGTCGAAGGATCTTTCATGGCGGTTAAAACGAAGAGTCGGAGTACCCGGCCCGGAGGGTTACCGGGGTCCCACCCTGGAGCCAGGCCTGGGGTTGGGGCCCGTGAGCGAGCGCCTGGTGGCCGGGCTTTCGCCCATGGGGCCCGGCCGGGCCCAGCCCAAACCGGATACATGGGCTCGTCCAACTGTGGACCCACCACCCGCAGGAGGAACATGAAGGGTCGGGTGCAATGCGAATCGGGTGGCAGACCAAGGCGGGAGCCTTGGCGGTCCAATCCCTGGACAAGAAAACTAGTTTTTGGGACATGGAACGTAACCTCGCTGGCGGGGAAGGAGCCGGAGCTTGTGGCAGAGGTTGAGCGGTACCGGCTAGATATAGTCGGACTCACCTCGACACATTGCATTGGCTCTGGAACCCGAGACCTGGAGAGGGGTTGGACACTCTACTTTGCTGGAGTTGCTCCGGGTGAGAGGCGGAGGGCTGGGGTTGGCTTTTTGTTAGCCCCGAGACTCTCTGCCTGTGTGTTGGGGTTTACCCCGGGGGACAAGAGGGTAGCTTCCTTGCGCCTTCGGGTCGGGGAACGGGTCCTGACTGTTGTTTGTGCTTATGGGCCAAATATCAGTTCAGAGTATCCACCCTTTTTGGAGTCCCTGGGACGAGTGCTAGATAGTGCTCCATCAGGGGGCTCCATTGTCCTGCTGGGGGACTTCAATGCTCACGTGGGCAATGACAGCTTGACCTGGAGGGGTGTGATTGGGAGGAACGGCCCACCTAATCTGAACTCGAGCGGTGTTTTGTTATTGGACTTCTGTGCAAGCCGCAGTTTGGCCATAACGAACACCATGTTCGAACATAAGGATGCCCACCGGTACACTTGGTACCAGGGCAGCCTAGGTCACAGGTCGATGATAGATTTTGTAGTCGTATCATCTGACCTGCGGCCGTATGTTTTGGACACCCGAGTGAAGAGAGGGGCGGAGCTGTCAACTGATCACCACCTGGTGGTGAGTTGGATCAGATGGCAAGGGAACATGCCGCGTAGACCTGGCAGACCCAAACGCATAGTGAGGGTCTGCTGGGAACGCCTGGCAGAAGAACCTGTCAAGACGGTCTTCAACTCCCACCTCCGGCAGAGCTTTGACCACGTCCCGAGAGCAGTGGGGGACATTGAGTCCGAGTGGGCCTTGTTCCACTCTGCGATTGTCGAGGCGGCTGTTGCTAGCTGTGGTCGTAAGGTGGCCGGTGCCAGTCGTGGTGGCAACCCCCGTACCCGCTGGTGGACACCAGAGGTTCGGGGAGCCGTCAGGCTGAAGAAGGAGGCCTACAGGGCGTGGCTGGTCTGTGGGTCTCCGGAGGCAGCAGACAGGTACCGGATAGCCAAGCGGGGTGCAGCAGTGGCAGTTGCCGAGGCAAAATCTCGGGCGTGGGAGGAGTTTGGTGAGGCCATGGAGAAAGACTATCGATCGGCTCCAAAGAGGTTCTGGCAAACTGTCCGGCGCCTCAGGAGAGGAAGGCAGCAACTCGCTCACACTGTTTACAGTGGGGATGGGGAGCTGCTGACGTCAACTGAGGCTATAGTCGGACGGTGGAAGGAATACTTTGAGGAGCTCCTCAATCCCACCAATGCACATTCCGAGGAGGAACCAGAGCTGGGAGGCCTGGGGATGGACTGTCCGATCTCGGGGGCAGAAGTTGCTGAGGTAGTCAAACAACTACACAGCGGCGGAGCCCCGGGGGCGGATGAGGTTCGTCCTGGGTATCTCAAGGCTATGGATGTTGTAGGGCTGTCATGGTTGACACGCCTCTACAACATTGCGTGGTCATCGGGGGCAGTTCGTAGGGAGTGGCAGACCGGGGTGGTGGTCCCCATCTTTAAGAAGGGTGACCTGAGGGTGTGTTCCAACTATAGGGGGATCACACTCCTCAGCCTCCCTGGAAAGGTCTACGCCAAGGTACTGGAGAGGAGGGTCCGATCGATAGTTGAATCTCAGATAGAGGAGGAGCAATGTGGTTTTCGTCCTGGCCGTGGAACTGTGGACCAGCTCTATACCCTTGCAAGGGTGATGGAGGGGGCATGGGAGTTTGCCCAAGCAATCCACATGTGCTTTGTGGATTTGGAGAAGGCTTATGACCGTGTCCCCAGGGGCATCCTGTGGGGGACGCTCCAGGAGTATGGGGTGGGTGGCTTTCTGTTAAGGGCCATTCAGTCCCTTTACCAGAGGAGCGTGAGTTTGGTCCGCATAGCCGGTAGTAAGTCGGACCTGTTCCCAGTGAGGGTTGGACTCCGCCAGGGCTGCCCTTTGTCACCGGTTCTGTTCATCACTTTTATGGACAGAATTTCTAGACGCAGCCGTGGTGTGGAGTGTGTCGAGTTTGGTGGCAGGAGAATCTCGTCTCTGCTTTTTGCGGATGATGTGGTCCTCCTAGCTTCATCCAGCTCTGACCTTCAGCTCTTGCTGGGTAGGTTCGCGGCCGAATGTGAAGCGGCTGGGATGAGGATCAGCACCTCCAAATCTGAGACCATGGTTCTCGACCGGAAAAGGGTGGCTTGCCACCTCCGGGTCGGGGGAGAGGTCCTACCTCAAGTGGAGGAGTTTAAGTATCTCGGGGTCTTGTTCACGAGTGAGGGTAGGAGGGATCGGGAGATCGACAGGCGGATTGGTTCGGCGTCTGCAGTGATGCGGACGCTGAGCCGATCTGTCGTGGGGAAGAGGGAGCTGAGCCAGAAAGCCAGGCTCTCGATTTACCGGTCGATCTACGTCCCAATCCTCACCTATGGTCATGAGCTTTGGGTAATGACCGAAAGAACGAGATCGCGGATACAAGCGGCCGAAATGAGTTTCCTCCGTAGGGTGGCCGGGCTCAGCCTTAGAGATAGGGTGAGGAGCTCGGACATTCGGGAGGGACTCGGAGTAGAACCGCTGCTCCTCCGGATCGAAAGGAGCCAGTTGAGGTGGTTTGGGCATCTGGTCAGGATGCCTCCTGGACGCCTCCCCGGGGAGGTGTTTCGGGCATGTCCTGCCGGCAGAAGGCCCCCGGGTCGACCCAGGACACGTTGGAGGGGTTACATCTCCAATCTGGTCCGGGAACGCCTTGGGGTCCTGCCGGAGGAGCTGGTGGACAAGGCCGGGGAGAGGACGGCCTGGAGCTCCCTAATTGGGATGCTGCCCCCGCGACCCGGACCCGGATAAGCGGAGGAAGACGAAGACGAAGACGAAACGAAGACATTGACAGTCTTCTACTTTTTGAATGAATAATTTTTCAAAAGCAAAGCATGTTTTTAATGTTAATGAGATCGATGTCACAAAATATAAGATGTAAGAATTTAAAATGTACTTGATTTCTTAGTTTAAGTATTTTTTTGATAACAAAAATAAGTTTATTTAATTAGACATAATGTACAAAATTCTTCATTTTTATAATTTAACTATTTTTTATATTTTAATTATTTTTGATGATTTATTTCATTCACATTTGCGTATAATTTTCTTTAAAACAGGAAGAAAATACTTGAGGACCATCCTCAGAAGCAACACGACTAAATTTACATATCACAACACTAGTTTAAAGACTAAAAAGTTATTTTATTTGTGTTTTTATTGCAATAACACCATCAAAGTCAGTAAAATACACGTCTTCCTGTTTCCATTCCACATTGCCTTCTCCATTATCACCATTCTTCCCTCTGATTTATGCTTTGACCCTTTGGACGGACTTAATCTTTATTATGGGATTTATGACGCTGATGTAGATACATGTTGTTCCTCCTCAGCTGTTCCGACGGGGTTAGGGTTAACCGTTAACCTTTCCTAATTAAAGTGACAATTTGTTGTTTTCACCGTTAATCTCTGGAAACATCTATCGAAATGTTGTTGAAAATGAATTAAACGACACCCAGCTGTTGAGAAATATTGGCGGCTTTGTAACATATAACCATAAAAATCAGGTCCAAAATATATGGGAGAGAGTCTAAGGCCCAGTCCCAATACTCGGCCTGCAGTCTTCAGCAAAGTGCACTTGGAGAAAGTGCTCTGTAAGGCTTTGATGCGTGGTTCACACGTGTGCAAATAATTGCCGAATTGAGTCAGGGAGCATTGTGTCATCGATCGCAATGCATGTCGGGGTAATGGTCACTGTGATACTTTCTTCAAAAACCTTTATTAAAAACTTTCAAAGAAAAAAGCCAAACAGGTATTTGAAATAAATTTAACTTCATTGCTACTTTGCCGGGCTGCGCAGTGGCGCGGAGGTTAGAGCAGTTGCCTTGCAGCAAGAAGGTCCTGGGTTCGCACCCCCCCCCCCCCCCCCCCCACACACACACACACACAACCTATGTGGACAAAACGGGTTCAGACAATGGATGGATGGATGGATGCTGCTTTGCCTCTACTTTCAGAGCATCCGCTAATCATCCTAGTACGAACTAATTTCATTAGAAAACATATATTTTTAGAAAAGGAACTTGAGCTTTCAGTCCTGCAGCAATGAATTGTGGGTAATACCTTGCAGCTCAAGGGTGCAAAAAGGGCGTGATCTACTTCTGCACTTGAGATTCGGGAAACCCTATGGGCTCGCACCCCTGATCGTGCAATTGAAGGGCGCATGGGTGGAAGTGCGAGTATCTGGATTGGACAACAGTCTCTGGGCAATGCCATGTTTCCTTCTACGGGAGCCCGTGAAGACGAAACACATTTACTGTTTTGTAACAAATGGTAAAATTTTCACTATTCATAAACGTTGTTTAACACATTTATCTCTTCACTCGTTGCCAGTGATGAAAGGGAGTCTGATGTGCTCGTTATTTTGCCTGAGGTTGCACTCCCAGGGATTTTTGACCCTAATGGTCATCCATTGATAAGGTCTTACTCGAGCACAAAAAAAAACTGCTTGTGTGAAATAATTTTGGGAATGTACTACCCCTTATTGCCAGGGTAAATACACACTGTCACTTTAAGACGGTAACAAATGTAGTTTTATTTTTTAAACAAAATTTTCAAGTTACAAGTTGCAACTCAGTTATTATTTATTATATAAAAAGGTTAAACGTTTTTGACGGCAAAACAGAATCTAGAAGTAATTTTAAATATATTTGAAGTCATCATTTACTGCATTATCAGATCATTTTTGACTATTGAATGCAGACAAATCGGACAGATTTAAACCTGTAGGAGAGAGTCAGCCTGGGCTGAAGTGATCCTGAGTTTGATTTGCTACATGAACCTTGAAGCCCAGAAGTTCTGAGACTTACCCTGATGTTGTATCTGGTTCTGTAGACGCTACGGATGGGCATGCCCAGACCACACAGGCAGCACTCGCCCATGTCGCTGGCGATAGTGCAGCCAAGACACGGGTAGCAGAAGAACCCGTAGCAGCCTGAGGGAGACATAGGGTTCAGTCAGCAATAGTGGGGAAGTTCAGGTGTGCCAGCAGCAAACTAAAGGTAAATGTGTGCATGCATGTTCACTAAAAGGTAAACATTAGAATAGAAGACTGTACAGTCAGGATTTATGCACAAATGCAACAACAAAAATTTCTAGAAATTAAAAAAAACTGTACAAGGAACATTTGGGATGAGAGATCACCTTTGTTGGGTATTTGATTATAAATAGGAATAAAAATTGATCTTCCTACTTAAACAAACCCTTAAAATCTTTTGGTGAAGTTGTTTTTGTTTCAACAAACAGGATTTAGTGAAAACTCATTTTCAGAATAAAGTTTTAACACAATTTCTCTGAAAACCAGGATGTGGACTTCAGCTTTAATCCTAATCGTTGGAGCGGGATGGTTTTAAAGATCAGCAGGAATAACTATTACATACGCATCCATCCATCTGTATCATTCATGTACGTTTACTAGATTTTTTTTATTTTTCCTGCAGTTTTTTTTCCTGTACTCACAAGTTCCACAGTCATCACAGAAATCACAGAGTCCAGTCTGGAAATCGGAGGGCTCATATCTGCCTGGCTGGTTGGTTACGGCCATGATCAGGGTCAACGCGTCTCTGTGTGGGATGAAAAGGGTTTTATTTTCATTTAAACAGAGAGCAAATACTTCAGAAATCAGCTAAAAATCTCTGCAGTTCAAGCATCATGCTCTGTAGGAACAGAAGTTCTCTATAAATCTTACCAGATGGACAACTAAAGGATGATGAAGCTGCTAAAGGAGACGGCAGACTGAGAGAGGGACGCGGCGCTGGCCTTTATAACAGATCAAAGGTGATTTAGTTTTAATCTATGATATTGTAGGTTAAAGAGTTCACTAAACACACCCATACAACCCCACCCCTGCAATAAACACTAACACTTAGATTCCTTCCTCAAGTTTCTTTTTATAGAATTAATAAAAAATACAGAATATAAAATTTTTATTTGTTTTATTCTAAAAACTTTACTTTTCACAGTTCTTACACCTGAAATACTCTTTAAACATCTTTGGTGTGTTCTTACTGTGTTTAGTTTCTAATTCCATTTCTGGTTCTTTTTAAAACACAGGAAAGGTTTTTCTTTAAACGGAGTAGGAAGTGACGCCACCATCAGCGTCAGCTCTGAGGATGTTTTGCAGTCTGCAATCGAAACGTTAGCAAGGTAAAGAAAAACCTTTCCTGTGTTTTAAAAAGGACCAAAAATGGAATTAGGTTTTTCTTTACCTTGCTAACGTTTCATTTGCCGACTGCAAAACATCCTCAGAGTTAACGCTGATGGTGGCGTCACTTCCTACTTCGTTTATCTGCGGGCAGCAGAGGACGTTGACGCCCTCTGCTGCCCACTCTCCCCTCTCCGATGATGCAGTCCCATGCACGATCCAATGAGTAGACCCCATTGCCTCTGTTCATGGTCTCACATCCACATCTCCTTATCTTGATAGCTTATTTTATCCATCTTTTGTACTTCTGTTGTTCTGTGTTTATGATCCTTGTGTTGTCCCAGTCCATTACGTGGTTTTCTCTTATGCAGTGATCTGTTACGGCTGACTTCTTTATTGTGCTTTCTGCTTCTTCTTTCGCTGCTCTTGTGTGTTTTTTTGACTTGTTTATTTCTGGTTTGGTCTTGTTTTCTTTCTTGGTTCTTGTCTTTCTGGGTTTCTGGTTCTTTGCTTAGGTTGTTCTTTTCTTTCTGTTGTTGTTTGTTGTTTTCCTTTGTTTATTGCCCATGTTGGGTATCCGCAGGTCTCTCAAGCATGTTGTATGTGTTTGTCCTCTTATTTACGGTCTCTTTCTTCTGTTACCTTGTTTGCTCGGTGATATAATGTTCTGATTACTGACATGTTGTGTATGGTGGGGTGTTCTGAAGTCCATAATAGATATTGGTCTGTGTGTGTTGGTTTCCTATACTTTATGTGTTTATGTTTAGGGTCCCGTCGGTCTGCCTGCTTATTTTCATGTCCATAAATGCTATACTGCCTTCTGTTTCTGTCTCATATGTGAACTTTATGCTGCCTGTGTCGTCAATGTTATTCAAGTGTTGTGTTAGTGTTTCTGTTTGTCCTTTTGGTATGATTTCCAGTATGTCGTCTACGTAGCGTTTCCATAATTTTATTTAGCAGTTTGGGGGGGCAGTTGCTACGGCTTTTTGCTCTAGGTCTTCCATGAAAAACTCGCACAGGGTGGCTGAGAACAGGTTACCCATGGCGAAGCCTTCCAGTCGTTCGTATATTGTGTCATCGTATGTGACATAAGTGGAGTTAACTACCAGTCCTATCAGTTGTGCTATGTCATCTGCTGTGAGGTTTGTTCTTTTGTGTAAAGTCTTATCCTGTCTGATTCTGTTAACTACTATGTCTATGGTTTTTTGGGTTGGATGCTTTTGTGAACAAGGATGTGACGTCATGTGGGATGAGTCCATCCATCCATCCATCCATCCATCCATCCATTTTCATCCATTTATCCGGAGTCGGGTTGCGGGGGCAGTAGCCTAAGGCGAGAGGCCCAGATTCCCTCTCCCCAGCCACTTGGGCCAGCTTCTCCGGGGGAATCCCAAGGCATTCCCTGGCCAGGTGAGAGACATAGTCCCTCCACCGTGTCCTGGGTCTAACTTTAGGTCTCCTCCCAGTTGGACGTGCCCAGAAAACCTCACCAGGGAGGCGTCCAGGAGGCATCCTGACCAGATGCCCGAGCCACCTCAACTGGCTCCTCTTGATGTGGACGAGCAGCGGATCTACTCCGAGCCCCTCCCGAATGACCGAGCTTCTTACCCTATCTCTAAGGGAGAGCCCAGCCACTCTTCGGAGAAAACTCATTTCGGCCACTTGTATCCGTGATCTCGTTCTTTCGGTCATTACCCAAAGCTCATGACCATAGGTGAGGGTAGGAACATAGATTGACCGGTGAATCGAGAGTTTCGCCTTCTGACTCAGCTCTCTCTTCACCACAACAGACCGGTACAACGCACGCATCACTGCAGATGCAGCACCAATCCGCCTATCAATCTCACGCTCCAGTTTTCCCTCACTCATGAACAAGACCCCGAGATACTTAAACTCCTCCACTTGGGGTAGGACCTCATCCCTGACCCGGAGAAGGCATTCTACCTTTTTTCAAATCAAGACCATGGTCTCAGATTTAGAGGAGCTGATTCTCATCCCAGCTTCTTCACTCTTCTGCTGCGAACCGCTCCAGCGAAAGGTGAAGGTAACGTTCTGATGAAGCCAACAGGACCACATCATCTGCAGAAAGCAGAGACCTGATCCTCAGGCCACCAAAACGGATGCCCTCCACACTTTGGCTGTGCCTAGAAATCCTGTATTTAAAGGTTATGAACAGAATCGGTGACAAAGGGCAGCCTTGGCGGAGTCCAACTCTCACTGGGAACAAGCCCGACTTACTGCTGGCAATGCGGACCAAGCTCTGACACCAGTCATACAGGGACCTAACAGCCAGTATCAGAGGGCCTGGTACCCCATACTGCTGGAGTACCCCCCACAGGGCCCCAGAGGGACGCGGTCAAACGCCTTCTCCAAATCCACAAAACACATTTAGACTGGTTGGGCAAATTCCCACGCACCCTCCAGGATCCCCCTAAGGGTATAGAGCTGGTCCAGTGTTCCACGGCCAGGACGAAAACCACATTGCTCCTCCTGAATCTGAGGTTCAACAATCCGACGGACCCTCCTCTCCAGAACCCCTGAATAGACCATACCAGGAAGGCTCAGGAGTGTGAGCCCCCTGTAGTTGGAACACACCCTGCGCTCCCCCTTTTTAAATAAGGGGACCACCACCTGGTCTGCCAGTCCACCCCCCCCCACCCCCCACCCCCTTATAAAAAAGAAAAATGATATAATTTTAGGTAACTAACATTACATACCTCAGCAGCAGTAGCTCAACCGGTAGAGCGGGTTGTCCAGTAATCAGAAGGTTGCAGGTTCGATCCTGGCTCCGGACAGAGAATTCTGCTGTTGTGTCCTTGGGCAAGGCACTTAACCCCCCTTGCCTGCAGGTGGTGGTCGGAGGGACCGGTGGCACCTGTGCTCGGCAGCCTCGCCTCTGTCAGTGCGCCCCAGGGCAGCTGTGGCTACATCATAGCTCATCACCATCAGTGTGTGAATGTGTGTGTGAATGGATGAATGATACACTGTAGTGTAAAGCACTTTGGAGTCCTTACTCTGAGAGGCGCTATACAAGTGCAGGTCATTTATCATTTATTTATCATTTATCTCCTGTCATGCATGCTTAAACTCTAAACATTATCTGTGCAAATTATGACAGATACTTCAATTTTAGTTAGACCAGGGAAAATGTGGCATATTTCTTTTGTCTGCAGTCTGAATCCCTGACAAACACCCACCACACATGGCAATTGACTACATTCCACAAGTCGTGCCAAGCAAACAAAACAAAGCAACACCTCAGATTTGTCGTATTTGGATGTTTTGATAGAGAGAGAAAATTAAATGGAGTTTGATGTATGTGTGTGGCATGTGAAAGTCATTAAAAGAGTAAAAACTCCACACACTCCCACAATAAAAACTCCACACACTCCCACAATGAAACAATTAACCACAGTTTTTAACTCCTCACACACCTTCCTGTTATTGACACAAATCACCAATAAAAAAGGCACAATTTTATGACTTTTTCCCACCACGTGCTGAAAACCTGTACTTTAAACCCCACATCTTAATCATCATGGTTTTATTAACGGGACAAAGTTTAAACTTTAAAAATAAAACTTATTTTCTTTTTTATTATTTATTTGTCTTGTTTGTTTCTCCTTAGGTAGTCTTGATCAATTGTTCTAAAGAAGCTGGTTCACTATGTCTCTTGATCATGTTTAAAAAAAAACATTTTTTTTCTCACTTCAGCTCTTTTGAAAAGAGTTCCTGTGGAAAAGTTATGGTCATTAAATACCTCACCTGCTGTTGACAGCTCTTTGAATGGCTTCTGTTTGAAGAGGTGTGGCTCATCAATGGGTTAGAAGTTACAGTGGGGCAAAAAAGTATTTAGTCAGCCACCGATTGTGCAAGTTCTCCCACTTAAAATGATGACAGAGGTCAGTAATTTTCATCATAGGTACACTTCAACTGTGAGAGACAGAATGTGAAAAAAAATCCATGAATTCACATGGCAGGATTTTTAAAGAATTTATTTGTAAATCAGGGTGGAAAATAAGTATTTGGTCAATTACAAAAATTCAACTCAATACTTTGTAACATAACCTTTGTTGGCAATAACAGAGGTCAAACGATTACTATAGGTCTTTACCAGGCTTGCACACACAGTAGCTGGTATTTTGGCCCATTCCTCCATGCAGATCTTCTCGAGAACAGTGATGTTTTGGGGCTGTCGCCGAGCAACACGGACTTTCAACTCCCTCCACAGATTTTTTATGGGGTTGAGGTCTGGAAACTGGCTAGGCCACTCCAGGACTTTCAAATGCTTCTTACGGAGCCACTCCTTTGTTGCCCGGGCGGTGTGTTTGGGATCATTGTCGTGTTGGAAGACCCAGCCACGTTTCATCTTCAAAACTCTCACTGATGGAAGGAGGTTTTGGCTCAGAATCTCACGATACATGGCCCCATTCATTCTGTCCTTAACACGGATCAGTCGTCCTGTCCCCTTAGCAGAAAAACAGCCCCAAAGCATGATGTTCCCACCCCCATGCTTCACAGTAGGTATGGTGTTCTTGGGATGCAACTCAGTATTCTTCTTCCTCCAAACACAACGAGTTGAGTTTATACCAAAAAGTTCTACTTTGGTTTCATCTGACCACATGACATTCTCCCAATCCTCTGCTGTATCATC